TTCAAACGTTCTCCTTCTCCATCATCTCTTCTTAAAAAAAAAAAAAACCATTTAAGTTTCTAGTTCAATCACAGCTTATTTTCTAATACTGGTAAAGTTCTTCCTTCCTTTCTTTTTTAAATGTTGTCATAATGAGGTTTTGAGAGGAAAAAGAATGAAACAGTTCAGCTCAGGTTGGTCTCTGGAAATGGAAGTCACAGTTTCTGGTTCCTTCTGATGACCTGAATGAACAATATTGAGAAATCTTCTTGCAGTAACTCAATTTTATTGGAAGGAACCCGTGGTTCCCCCTTTTTTGAACAGTTCTGTCTTTTCATATGTCCTGTGATTTTTTTTTTTTTTTTTTTTTTGCTTTCTTTTCTGTGTTTATCCATCAGTGGGGCTTCTGCTGGAGATGGTGTGTGTCCCTGTCTGAATCATTCAGGCCAGGATGATAGGAGAAAGGAGTGGGTTAAACATGATGGAGTTTCATTTTCTTGATTCAAAGATCCAGAAGCCGAAGGAAAAATGGAGCTAGAAAATGATAGGATAAGGGAGTCAGAGCTGGAGGGAGTCATATTGGAAAGTTTCCACTCTTGGCTTGAAGTTCCTACTCTTTACTCAAAGTTTCTTTCTCCTGTTTGGTATTTATATGGGGGGGAGGTCTTTTACAAGTGATACAAAGTTCAATTCAGACTAGGTTAAGTGAAGAAGGGAAATAAAGGTGCTGTTCTGGTTTCAAGTGAAGCTGAATACAGAGTACAATGTCCTTGATTGAGAATCTGGTTTATTTCCATCAGTTGGTTCTGTCTTCTGCTAAATTACCTTTATTCTGGAGTTCCCATGGGAGGCCCTAGAACTTCTAGGTGGTAAAGTGGCTACAATAGCTCTGGCCTCACACCCCTGCAGGTCAGCTCTAGCAGGCCTAGAGCTTGGGTTTTCCCCTTGGCACCCACTAAACTTTTTTTTTTTAATAACAGATTTATTGAGATGTCATTCACATACCATACAATTCATGCATTTAAAATGTAAATGTCAATGGCTTTAGTATATTCACAGAAGTATGTAACTATCAGCACTATCAGTTTTAAAACCTTTTCATTATCTCAAGAAGAAATCTTGTCGTTACTCGAGGTCACCCTCCAGCCCCTCAACCTCCCAGTCCCTAGACCTAAGCTACTGACCTACATTCTGTCTCTATAGATTCACCCCTTCTGGGCATTTCATCTAAATGGAATCATATAGTAGTATGTGGTCCTTTCTTTTTCTTTTTTTTCTTTTTACTTGCGGTATGTAGGATCTTTAGTTGCAGTATGCCAATTCTTAGTTATAGCATGCGGGATCCAGTTCCCTGACCAGGGATCAAACTTGGGTCCCCTGCATTGGGAGCACAAAGTCTTAGACACTGGACCACCAGGGAAGTCCCAGTATGTGGTCCTTTTTAACTGGCTCTTTTCATTTAGCATAATATTTTCAAGGTTCATCCAGGTTATAGCATGCATCAGAACTTCATTCACCTTTTTTTATGGCTGAATAACATTCCTTTGCGTGGATATACCATATTCTGTATTCTCCAGTTGATGAACATTTGGGTTGTGTTCACCTTTTGACTATTATAATGCCACTGTGAACATGTATGTACATTGCATGCTCATTTGATTTCATTTCTTTTAGGTATATATTTTGGAATAGAATTGCTAGGTTATAAGGTACCTCTATATTTGATCTTCTAAGGAACTGCTAGAATGTTTTCCAAAGCAGCTGTACCATTTTACAGTCCTGCTGACAGAATAGGAGGGTTCCAGACTTCTTGGTGGTCCAGTGGTTAAGACTCTGCATTTCCATTGCACTGGGGCATGGGTTTGATCCCTGGTTGGGAAACCAAGATCCCACATGCTGCATGATGTGGCCAAATAAATAAACAAAAACAGATCCAGTGTGAATAGCTAACTAAAAAAAAAAAACAAAAAAAAACACAATGCAGGAGGGTTCCAATTTTCCTACATCTTTCCTAACCTCTGTTATTATCTTTTTTTTTTTTTTTTTGGTTATAGCTATTGAGTTGGCCAAAAAGTTCATTGAGGGTTACCCCTGAACTCCCAGTATTGAGGTAAACCCCTACAAGCTTTTTTTTACCAACCCAGTACCTTAGTGGTGTGAAGTGAGCCATTCTGATTGGACTACCCTGGGTGATGTGAACATTCCTGAATGAATCACTGGCCACAGTCTCCTTGGTGCTGGATGGACTGGAACTAGGTCACGAACTCCACTGTGGAAATCTGCTCAGAACATGTGAACTCAGAATGAAGGAAAGATTAATACCAAGTCTACTGTCAGAGTCATTACTAAGATAAGAGAAACTAGATGTTGGGAAAATGAAGAATTCATGTTTATTAAAGCTTGACAGTCAGTAATTCATTGGGGCAATGCCCTGACCTGGGTCTAGAATGGCAGTCAACTTCTGGGTTAAATCCCAAGGAATTTATGCTGTGGGCATCCATCTCACCATGTCCTTGGTGCTGTGGGCATTTCCTTATGATGCTGACCAGCTCCAAATGCTCTGGCCCACTCCCATCTCTAGTTCTCACTGCAGTTGGGCCATTGGTAAGGTTTGCAAAGATCTTTCTGAAATGGTTATCAAGCAAATTGCTCCTTCTCATTTGAGGGATCCTGACTTTGGTTGGCCCATCCTTCAATCTGGTCCTCTGCTGTGTATATCACAGACATTCTTTAGATTTTCTAGCCTATAAATATCACCCTTCTCTAATACTCTGTGCTGATATAAGTATTTTCCTATTTTTATATACAGTTGGTCATTTTCCTGGGAACCTGGGAAATAGAAGAAAGTTAGATGCTTAAGTTTTTGTCTTCCTGCACTAGAGAAATAACTTGAGCTTGCTTCTTAGGAGCAGCTTATGCCTCAAATAATCTACTTCAAGATTGTGTTAGGATCAATGTTGCTTCAAAACATAGTATATCTTGGACTTCCCTGGTGGTCCAGCAGTTAAAAATCTGCCTGCCCATGTTGGGGACATGGGCTCGACCCCTGGCCTGGGAAGATTCCACATGCTACAAGGCAACAAAATCTGTGCACTCCAACTAGAGAGTAGCCTCTATTCACCTCAACTAGAGAGTAGCCCCTGCTCGCCTCAACTAGAGAAAGCCTGCATACAGCAGCCAAGACCCCGTGCAGCCAAAAAGAAATAAACAATTAATGAAAAACCCACCTTGTATCTCACTGGACATCCCCCACAAGGTCAATGCTAAAATAAACTTTAACCACCACTTATTAAAGGTTTACTATGTGGTAAGTACTGGGTAAAGCACTTTTCATGCATTACTTCATTTCATTGTCATTAAAGCTTTATGGGGCCAACAATATTACCTTCGTATTATAGGTGAGGGAACTGAGGCTCAGAGAAGTTAAGTGACTTGCCAAAAGTCACACAATAAGTCACAATAAATCACATGTAGTGTCAGGATTAAGGGTCACTGCCTCTCGTTACTCCACTTAGCCCCAGTCTCTCACCAAACCCTGCAGCGCTTCCCTCATAAGTATCTGAAACCCAGCCTCTCCTCTGCCCCTTCATTGTCACGTCAACATCATTGCTGATCTTGGCTTCAGAAATAACTTGCTCTCTGGTTCCCTGGCCCTGGTCTCGCCTCCTCCAATCCATCCTCCGCCCTCTAGCCAGTATGAAGTTGCCACAGTGAGACCCTGATTCTGTTACTCTCCTGATTAAAACCCTTCACAGCAGAGAGTTCATAACTCCTGTTACAGGACACTCGTGGGCCACCTGGATGCCGTCTTTCTCACCACCCTTTCATGCACCCACCCTGCTGTTAATGAGAACCGTTCACAATCTCCTCCGTGCACCACACCAGGCTTCTTCTTGACGCTGTGCCTTGGCATAAGTCATCTCTTTGTTCTTTCTTCTGCCCCCTGACTCCTCACCCTTCACCAGGTTCCCTCCTCCTTGTCTTACGAGGCCAAGTCTAAATAGCAGCCTAAAGGAGAAGCCACCTCTGAATCTCACCACAGCCCCTTTAGTCAGAGGGCATGGCCTGGTGGCCCTCAGTGACACAGCCTACTGACCAGATGCCCTCAGAATCATAGTAGCGAGACCCCCAAGGTCATCTGGTCAACCTTCAACCTTTTCCCTAACGGACACCACACAGCTTAACCCATTTTTGGTGTGAACTGGCTCATTTTCTCCAGGCCGCTTTAGCAACCCAGTACATATGGAGCTTTGCGTTGCAGACCAGTTTATCCACTTGTGAATTGGAAGACAGCACTTTTCCAGAGAGTCTCCAAGGTCCTTTTCCACTCTAAATTTCAAGATTCCACATATTATCTTATCTTAGGGGCTACACTGAGCTAAATACAGCCTCCTATTTTCCCATCTCCATTTCTCTGTCTCTGTCTGTCTGTCTGTCTCTCTCCACCCTCCTCTTCTGTGTCATCCGGTTGCCTCCAAGGTGGGGCCTGCTTGTGGAAAGCTGTGTGGGCTCTAAAGAGCAGGTACCAGTTCTACGAAACCAGAGTCTCGGGGCCTGCAATCTTGCAGGTGGTGGTTCCCAGCAGCGGTCCCAGCGTGCCGTGCGTCCTGCTTGAGGAGGAATAAAAGGCCAGGCTGGACGCCTGCAGGATGGATAAACAAACCCATACATTTGCTACCATAAGAAAAAAGGAAAAGGAAGAAGGAAAAGGTATTGATTATGTGGCATTGAAGTGCCTGGGGCTTTAACAGACATTCAAGATTGGACGCACTGCTCAAGATCAATAGTAGGTTTTATGTCTCTGACCTAAAAAGTACCAGCGCCATGTAATTTAAACACAGACAGCTATGAGTATATCTCCTAACACCTGGCAGGCTTCCCTCAGCTACCTCTGACACACGTGCTTACTTTTCCGCAGCCATTTCCCATTTTTTGTGTTTTTTTTTTTTTGGCCAGAGGATGACATGAATAAATATAAGGATATTTAGGAATGTAGAGTCAGGTGTTTCTGATATCATTACCTTAAATGGTAACCTCACAGAGCAGAGTTGAATGGCTGGGCGTGAACCCCGAGGGGATGGCAGCTGATAGGCGCCTGCAGAGAGGGTGCGGTCCTGAGGTTGGAAATGAAGGAGAGAAGGGCCGGGTGGCTCCCTGGGCCTGAGGCTGTGATGTGTGCTCAGGAGTTCTTCTGTGTCTTTGGAACAGCCCTGTGGAATGGGAGGCACCCAGTTTACAAAGAAAGAAATACAGTCTGTTGCTTCCTTGATTGAATGGCTGTTTTGGTTGCTGCCAGGGGAAGGGCCACTTCCCTGGCGGCTCAGTGGGTAAAGAATCTGCTTGCAATTCAGGAGACCTGAGTTTGATTTCTGGATTAGGAAGATCCCCGGGAGAAGGCAATGACAACCCACTCCAATATTCTTGCCTGGAGAACCTCATAAACAGGAGAGTCTGGCAGGCTAAAGTCCATGGGTTCACAAAAGAGTCAGACATGACTGAGCGACTAACACTTTCATTTTTCAGGGGGAGGGTCAGGGGATTTCTAGGGCAACACTTGCACCCAAGAATCCCTACACACACGCACGTGCGTGCACACACACACACACACACACATCACCACAGGGGATCAAACAGAAGCAGAAAAAGTGTCACAGTTATGGCAGTGCATTCTGACTGCCTAAGGTTTAATCTTGGCTCCACCAGCTGTCAGCTGTGACTCTGGACCAGTTACCTAACTTGCCTGGGCCTCAGTTCCTGCATATGTAAAATGGGAATAATAATAATAATTAATATTACAGCTGAGGGGGGAATCAAAAGGGTTAATACAGGTAAGGTTTAGCACGTGGCAAGGATTTGATAAATGCTAACTAACTTTGGCAACCAGCAGACAAGCCCGCTTAGTGAAACCTGTGGCTAAGTGGGCTTGAATCAGTTCGCCAGGATGCATGAAGGTTTCTATGTCATTTCAACAGAAGTCCTAGTTCACTGTGGATGACGTGGGCCAAAATCCCCCCTCGCATCCTAGCCTGTACATGTGAGGCGAAGCTTGGGGGCAGCCTCCCAGTCTGTAGATTCCTACCTGTGGCTCCTGCCTCCCTGCCCCCGAGCCCATCCCGCCCAGCTCCATCTCTGACAGGGTTCCAGGGACCCCAGAAGAAAGAGAGTGCCTCACTTAGTGACTCTGCAGCTTTTCTCAGCACTTGGGCTTCAGAAACCCCCCCAGGGACCCTTCTCACCCTTCTCTTTGTTTACGGACATATGTGCATTTGTTGAGGAGAGTTGTAGAAAGTTCTCGCCCTTAATTTTGTGGTGGGATAAGATGGCTAATCTGTTTTGACATGCTATCTAAACGGCCCTCAGATCAGTATACGGAAGAAGTCATCCATAAGTCATGTCTTTTGTACACATGTACTGGTGTGTACCAGAGAAAGAGTTATATTGGCTGCGAGAGGCTGAATAATAATGGTCGTTATTATGGCGAATTCAGGGTCTCCACATTCACTCCACATATCAAATCCTCTTTCAATAAGGCCAGTTCCATCAGCTGTCAGATTCTATTAAATATATCCCTCAGACCTACTGACCAGCTGACAGGAGAGAAACTCTAAACCGTACAGCCACCATTAGCATCATAAAATGTGAAATCAGCTGGAAGGAATGATAACAGAACTAAAAACAGAAGAGATGAAAATCTGTAATGCCCTTGTGTGCTCCTAAATAGAAACCCCGAGAGTTACAAACACACCCATAAAATACCGAGGTTAAAAAAAAAAATAACAAGACAAAAAAACAAAGGTCGGCCTCTTGTGTGCTTCATAACATAGAATGGTTCTTTTACCTTTTGTTAATGTGAGATTTGCATAAATGTTTCATGAGGTTAATACAATGCATAAAACAAACATTTATTAGGCAACATCTGTGCTGTTTTCCCAGATAATGGAGTGTTTCTTCCAAGTCAATGAAATATAACCTATCAGAAGGTTGGAGGTGTGGGAATACTTGTACAAGGGCTGTTGATCATATTTTATACTTCTGCAAATGCTTGGGTCCTACCAGAAGATTTCTTAAACAAGGAGAAGCAGGTGCTGGCTTGTGCTCTAGTAAAAGATACAGAACACTTGGATCTATCAAGGAACCAAGCCCTGCAAAGAGAAGAAAGATTTCTGCATGGGGACTAGAACTGCTTCATCATTTCTTTAGCCTAACTTTCTAAATTTGGAGTTGTTCGCTGACATATTCACTTAATACTGAAAAGAAAAAAAAACAAAGATCTGCACTTAAAATCTAAGAAGCAGAGAGATGGTCAAAATGTCCAGTGGTTTTGTGCAGCTACAATCCTATCATGATATTGGTTCCATATGGGGCTCTTTAAAGCAAAAAACAAAAAAAAAAGTTATGAGACCAATAATTTTTAATGAAACTTGGCTTAGCTCACAAGCAGGTCTAACAGATGAAACAGCAGCCCAGGCTGGAAACATGACTTTTCTTCTTCCTGGCAGGGATGAAAGAAAGCATCCTTTCAATTAAAGGAAACCTTAATGGAGATATGTTTTGTATTATCGATTTTGCACAAGTAGGGATTTAGGCATTGTCCCTTTCAACACATGTGTCTAAGCAAGTCCTCTCTTTCTCTAATGGGCCATTTTGAAAGTGAGAAACATCTTGATCATGCCTTTTGAGCTGCATTTTGGGTGGAATTTTTTAGTAGAATATTTGTATTAATCAGTTCAGGCTGCCATTAACAAGCTGTCATAGACTTGGTGACTTAAACAGAAGGAATTTATTTCTCACGGCTCTGGAGACTGGGAAGTCCAAGGTCAAGGTGCTGGCTAATTCAGTTTCCCAGTGATGATTGCTGACCTGCAGACAGCTGCCTTCTCATTACCCTCTTACATGGACAGGTTGAGAGAGAGAGAGAGAAAGGAAGCTTTCTGGTGTCTGCTGTTAGTAGAGTACTAATCCCATCATGGGGACCCCACCCTCATGACCTCATCTAAGCCAAATTGACTGCCAAAGGTCCCGTCTCCAAATACTGTCACATTAGGAATTAAGCTTTCAACATATGGATCTGAAGGGGTTGGGGAGGCAGAATTCAAGGCATAGCAAGATTGTTGAAAACTCTTGTCTCCCTAGAAGTTTGAAAGGATTGGGGGCATAGAGATTCTTCAGAAAATGAACAAGGTGCTCTCTCTCCAGACACTTCAGTGTGAGGCTTCTGAACCTTGACACTATTGACATTTGGACAGGATCATTTTTGTTACAATCCCTTCCCAGGTGGCACTAGTGGCAAAGAACCCACTTGCCAATGCACAAGATATAAGAGATGTAGGGTCGATCCCTGGGTCAGGAAGATCCCCTGGAGAAGGGCATGACAACCCACTGTAGTATTCTTGCCTGGAGAATCCTATGGACAGATCCTGGGGGCTACAGTCCATGGAGTCACAAAGAGTAGGACCCTACTGAAGTGACTCAGCACATTTTTGTTATAGGGAGCTGTCCTGTTCATTCTAGGATGTTTAGCAGCATCCCTGGCTCCTGCCCACTACGTGCTATTAGCATCTATCTCCCAGTGATGACAACAAAAATGTCTCCAGAGAGCACCAATTTTGGGGAACAAAAATGGCTCCCCATGGACAGTCACTGATTTCACTGTTTTTCAGTCTTTGGACACCTGCTTGCTCCATATCTGGCGTCCTCTGTAGGATTATTTGCTTAAGGACAAAGACGACTTTGTATGTAGATATCATCTAACTCAGCTCATTTCTAACCATCTAACTTACTCTGTGCTGGGAAATCCCGCATGTCAGGACACAGAAGAAGAATGCTGGTTGTAAGTAGTGAGGAGTACATCTATACATGTATAGATAGATGTATAGTACATCTATACATCTATACATCTGTACATCTATAGCATGAAAGGAGCCATGCAAGCATCCTTCACCCAGCTGTCTGCCTTCAGGTGGAACAATTAAGCCCAAAGAGCACCATCCTGCTGTCATAAGCACCAAGGTGGGCAAGGAGGATCCTTGTCTTGTCATTGCCTCTCATATCACTCTGCTCTGTATTCTCCTATGTCCTTACTGCTATTGAAAGGGTCTTGCTTGTTTATATGCTTACATTTGTCTTTCTTTGCAACTGAGTGTCTCCCCACTAGGATGAAAACTTCATAGAGCAAAAATGTTGGTTGTCTTCAGTGGCAGTGGAGTGTTCTAGCCAAATTTGAGGGTGTGGGTCTTGGTATCAGGCTGCAAGGCTGAAATCCAAGGTCTGCTGCGTAATAGCTTTATTGACTTTGGGCAATCATTTAGCTTTTCTAGCCTCAGTTTCCTCCTCCTCTTTTATAAATAAATTTAAAAAGACCAGTTCCTATCTCATGGGACTAGTGAAGAAGTCCCATGAGTGTTGATAAGAATAACTAATGAAATAATGTTTATCACATAATATATGCACAGCAAACAAGTTATTTCTGTTCACCACTGTAATTATTATTATCCCCTAGAGCAATTCCTGGGCTTCCCTGGTGGCTCAGATGGTAAAGAATCTGCCTGCAATTCCAGAGACCCAGGTTCGATCCCTAAGTTGGGAAGATCCCCTGGAGTAGGAAATGGCTACCCACTCCCATTCTTGCCTGGAGAAACCCACAGACAGAGGAGCCTGGCAGGCTATAGTCCATGGACTCCAAAGAGTTGGACACAACTGAATGACTAACCCTTCCACTTCACAGAGCAGTCCCCAGCACAAGAAGAAACACAGTATCAGTAAAATGAATGAATGAATTCCCTTGTGTCTGTCTCTGATTTTCACTTCTTCCTGTTGCAGTTGATAATTTGCTACCTAGCCAATCCCTCTTTTCTATTTTTGCTATAGCTGGGAAGAGGAAGTCTAATCAAATGTTTGTTTCTAAGCAAGTAATTAAAGCAATTGTACATGGATAAGAGGTCCAGACTTGGGAATCATATGCTCCCAATAGTTTTTCAAGGTAATAGCCCAGATTCTGTACAAGCACGCTATCATCCTCTGAAACTCAACCTTAGACTGACCCAGAAACTTTTTCCTTCCTTTTGGGCTAGTGGGAGATCTTCCAGTGCCCCCAAATCAGGCACATGCCAAGGAAAGACAAAGTCAAGCAGAGAAGATGCAGTTCAGGACTGGAGAGGCAAGGCTGTCGGGGCTCACAGCCTCCTCCCGCTTCCAAGTGGTAAATCACCATTTGTAAGAAATGTACTCAATCAGAGAAGAAAAAGAGATGTAATTATGTCGTTTATAATGAATTCTGAAGGAAACAAAGAATTTAAGGAGAAAAGCTCTGGAGACAACCAGAGAGCCGAAGCCTTTCGGATCGTCTGAGCTGCCCTGGAGAAGACGCATAGCTGATCAAACATTTGTGTTGATCACAGGGGGGCCCTTCCAACCCCTGAGAATGCTCCTAAGGAAGCAGGAAAACTCAGGAGCCCCCGCAAACACAGTCCGACTTTTATTAAATAAATTACACGCTCCTCTCAGCTTCCCCCAGCATCAATAATATCAACTTTTGGACAAACGGTTCTCTCTCGGGAACGGGTTCTGAGACTCACTCCTAATCTTCTTGCTTTGAAGTATCCACGGGCTTAAAGGCATGTGTCAATATCTGGGGCCTCTGGCCTTTGTGGGAGGGGCTGTGAAAGGGTCCCTGCTGTGGAGGGGAATCAGACCACCAGCATCCACATCCTCCCTGTTTTCCTGCAGCCAGTTTCCAGGGCGCTCCAGACCACCACCTGCCCATTCTGGGCTGAGCGTTCTTAGAGGAACCTGATGTTGCATAAGGAAATGATCCCCAAGCCTCTCCACTTCTAACACAGGCCACTCTCAGGGGTCTTTGCTTTCAAGAATGAAAAAAACAGGAGGCTTGGGGGCTGGGGAGGGATAATTCAGGAGCTTGGGGTTAACAGACACACACTACTATATATAAAATAGTTAACAAGCAAGGACTTATTGTATAGCACAGGGAATTATATTCAATATCTCATAATAACCTATAATGGAAAAATTATATATATCTATATACACATTTATATACATGTGTGCCAAGTTAGTTAGCCGTGTCTGACTCTTTGCAACCCCAGGGACTGTAGCCCTCTCCTCTGTCCATGGGATTCTCCAGGCAAGAACACTGACTGGAGTGTGTTGCCATTTAGGAGAATCTTCCCAACCCAGATATCAAACCCAAGTTTCCTGCGTCTTCCTGCGTTGGCAGGCGGATTCTTTACCACTGAACCAGCTGGGAAGCCCAGTACGTACGTGTGCATGCTCAGTCACTCAGTCATGTCCGACTCTGTGACCACATGGACTACAGCTTGCCAGGCTCCTCTGTCCATGAGATTTTCAAGGCAATAATACTGGAATGGGTTGCCATTTCCTTCTCAAGGGGACCTTCTCCAGGGATTGAACCTGCGCCTCCTGCTTTGGCAAGCGGGTTCTTTACCATCTGAGCCATTTGGGAAGCCAACAAAAGCCCTTCTAGTCGAAACTGTGGTTTTTCCAGTGGTCACGTATGGATGTGAGAGCTGGACGGTGAAGAAAGCTGAGCCCTGAAGAATTGATGCTTTTGAACTGTGGTGTTGGAGAAGACCCTTGAGAGTCCCTTGGACTGCAAGGAGATCCAACCAGTCCATCCTAAAGGAGATCAGTCCTGGGTGTTCATTGGAAAGACTGATGCTGAAGCTGAAACTCCAATACTTTGGCCACCTGATGCAAAGAGCTGACTCATTGGAAAAGACCCTGATGCTGGGAGAGATTGGGGGCAGGAGGAGAAGGGGACGACAGAGGATGAGATGGCTGGATGGCATCACCGACTCTATGGACATGGGTTTGGGTGAATTCTGGGAGTTGGTGATGGACAGGGAGGCCTGACGTGCTACAGTCCATGTGGTTGCAAAGAGTCGGACATGACTGAGTGACTGAACTGACTGACTGAAGTGTATACACACACACACACACACACACACACAACTGAATCACTTTGCTGTGTACCTGAAACTAACACAGCATTGTAAATCAACTATACTTAATTTTTTTTAAAAAAGCAAAAGGCCTGGGATAGTGAGCATCTGCCTTGGACTGAAATTTCTAAAAGTACCCAAAACATCAGTTATATAGCTATGGCCTTTGTTATGCCATAGGATATGGAATACCATGAACTAATTCCTTTAAAAATTAATATGAGAAGCAGATTTATTAACAACTTTTCTAAGTTCTCTTGATTTGCATTTCCAGTACATCCAGTCCTGGGGCACTGTATCATAGGCCACATGCTAAACCCTCCAGAATATTCATCGTGTGTGTTCTTCACTCTAACCCCCTGAGATAGGTATTATTATTCTCATTTTATTAGATCCAGACCCTATGTTTTTAACCTATGAGCTATTAAGTTTTTGTGGTCAAGTGAGTTTGTAAAACTCAGAGCTAACCAAGATTAACAGGTTTTGTTACTATAGGAATGCTCAGCCTTTTAAT